TCCTCGATTCTTCGGAAGAGCTGGCGGAGGCGGTCGTTGTGCTCGTCGATCGTTGCTCCGGTGATGATGATGTCATCCATGTATGCAGAGACTCCTTCCAGTCCTGTGATCATTGTGTCGACAATCTGTTGGAACATCGCTGGTGCTGTCTTGACTCCGAATGCCATGCGGTTGTACTGGAACATTCCAAGGTGAGTGTTGATCGTCAGCATTTTCTTTGACTCTTCTTCCATTTCAATTTGCAGATATGCTTCGGCCAGATCGACTTGAGTGAAGTAGTTGCCACCGTTCAGCTTCGAGTAGACATCTTCGGCCGTTGGAAGTGGATGTTGGTGCATCTGTAGCAAATCGTTCAAGCCAGTGGAGTAGTCGGCGCACATCCGAATCGAACCATCCTTCTTCTGCACGACAACGATCGGAGCAGCAAAATCGGAGTAGTTTGTGGGAGTGATGACACCTTCTTCGACTAGACGATTTATCTCTTGACTCACTTTTGGAAGAACTGCGATTGGAACTGGTCTGGCTTTCCGGAATGTCGGCTTGGCATCCGGCTTCAAGTGGAGTTGAGCTTTGGTCTTTGTGCATCTTCCAAGTCCTGCTTTGAACACTTCTGGGAACTCGGTCTCGAGACGCTTCTGGAGTTGGATACGGTGCTTAGCCATGACTTCTGAAGCTTCGGAAGACTTGACAGCATTGATGGATCCGCGAACCAAATGTTCAAAAAGTGACTTATCTGAGATATCCAATCCATACCAAGAAGTGATGCAGTGTCGGTGACGTGGCATGATCCCGAACCATTTTGACCATTGAGCACGAATTTGCACTGGAACTGTCCCTTGACGTCGATTGGTTTTTTGGTCGCAGTACGGAGGTTGAGTGTTGGCGGTGACAGCGTCGGCTTGTTCATCTTGACCCAATCCGATTTGTTGAGAAGAGTGACTTCGGCTCCAGTGTCCAAGACCATACGGATCGGTGTTCCATCAATTAAGACTTCAGTGTAGATGCGATTCTTGGCTCCAGCAGATGATTCGGCAATGAAAACTGCGTTGTTGGATTGGGAATTCTTCTGACGACACATTTTGGCAACATGACCGGTTTTATGGCATTGGTGGCAGACGAGCGACTTCTTCTGCTTACAATCACGATTCCAATGCATATCTCCACAATAACAGCATGGTGTTGGTGGTGGCTTCTTTTTGTCATCTGACTTCTGAGGATTTTGGTTGGACGGTTTCGGTTTGAACGGTTGCTGGACATGTGGCTTCTTGTTCTTGATGAAGTTAACACTGGATTTGGCTCCTCCAATGAAGTCGGCGTCGGCTTTCATTGCGATGACGTGGTCTAGTCGATCGGCCAGTTCAGTCAGAGTGATCTTTGGATTGGCTTCCATTTCACGAAGAGCACGAAGTCGGGTTTCGGTGTGTTGGCTGGATTGTAGTCCAATGGTCCAAAGGAGACACTGTGCTTGATCTTCCGACATCTCTTTCCACTGTGCCACGTTGAACAATCTTTTGATGTTTCCAGTGTATTCCTTCCGGTCTACTCCGTCAAATTTAACCGTCAAAAGTTCATACCTCATTCTGGTGATGGATTTGGATTCATTGAAGAGTTTTTTTAGTGTCTTGATGGTGTCCTCGAGTTTCACTTCTGATGGGGATTTTGGCAGCAGGTGGTTTCGGAATTGCTCGGATTCCTTCCTCTCCAATTTTGACACGATGAAGCGGGCCATTTCTTCATCTTCCAGCGCAGCACCATCTTTCTTAATAATGTCTTCATACCTTGAGTACCATCGGTCAAAAGTTTCTCCTTCATCTGTGTTGTAGGCGAATGGAGTGATTCGAGCATTGAGGGAGTTGACGACGGCGGTGTTGTCCTTGGTTTCCTCCTTCTTTTCCAGTTTGGTGATGATCTCCATGAATGCGTTTTGCTGTTGAGTCATCAATTCTCTTTGAAGCCGCATGAATTCTTGGAGTGACTTTTTTTCATTTTCAGATACTGATCGCCAGTGTTATATATTTAGAAGATTTATTATAGCCGGAAATTATTAGAGAATATTATAGGAATATGAAGACGGGGACAAGGTTTAGATAGAAGACAGGGTGACCAGGGAAGTCCCGATTAGCTGAAAACAAGACAAGAGACAGGAAGTGCACGTGGCAAAGAGCCACGTGGCATGAAGGGGGTTACATAGAAACTAGGTCACTAGGTCATGCAATTATTATTATTTATACGACTCTTGTCGTAACAGATAACATTAAAAACCATATCAACGATGTTCGTCAAATTCCGGGTTGCTCATTTTTTTTAAGTATTAAAAAAAATTTACGAATTCACCCTTAGAGAAAATCTTCTGGGTTGTTCCGCCTTCACAAAAATATTGAAGCTTTTACATTTTTTTCAAAACTGGAATCTTACCAAGCAGATGCGTGATAACTACGATATCAACAAACATTTCAAAATTTAATCATTCATATAAAGTAACACATTCAGGTAAATTGAATTCTTTCATTATAAGAGTGTAAGTTTACCAACAGAAAACTATCATTGGCAAAACATGAGCAGTTTCAAAAAATTATGCGGTAGTGGTAGTAATAGTTGCCTGTGTAGTCACGGTGTCAGATTCACACAAATTGCAAGTCACAGCGCAAAATTGTTTCTTTTGTTGAGTGGTGTAGAACGTGGAAGAACAGAATCCATTGGATTCCCAGGTAGCACAACCGGCAGAAGTGTCGATACATACTCCAGAAGCCGAGGTAGAAGAAGCGACAGTGCTGCTGACTCCAGAACAAAGACCGCAAGATGCGGGACAGTACTGGGTTTTCTGGGAGGAGGTGTAGAAGTTTGATGTGCAGAATCCATTGGCAACCCAGCTCGGACAGCTAAAAATTTTTTTTATTATTTTAAAATACTAAATTTAATTTTTATTACTTGGCATTGACATCTGCGCACATTTCAGCGCCAGCAACAAGAACAGCTAAAAAGACAACCGATGAGTAGACTGAATATTGCATGATTGCAAAGTGTGAAAGGATTTGATAATTCACTTTGGCTACCTCAACTTTTAAAGTGAATAATTTTGTGTTTATACAACTGTTTCGAAAGTGTGGGATCATCAGGTGTTTGATCTGAATAGTATCCCTTTTCACAAAGGTTTTGTTTGTTTTGGCAAGTCTGGTATAGGAAATTCGAAAAATTAATCATCAAGCACACATATGAATTGTTTAATTTAGCCGAACTGCCAAAATTAGGAGTTGGCGATTTGTTGTGGGATGTCTGCCCTGACGTGGGCGGTTTTGATGGCAATGATAGAGTCAGCATCGGGACAGAATCTATTTCAAATTTCATGAGAAAAATAAAAAAGAGGTTCGTTACCTAACATGGTTCTGTTGCAAAAAAAAAGGTAAAAATGCATTCAATTTTTTGATGATAAACGGTAACTTTGAGATGAATCTTGAAATAATCTGGACAGAAAAAACGTTGAGAACCAAAAATCTTACTGGAGCGAAGGAGAGGATCTAACTTTTAATAATTCTTATAATTTGCGAAAACGAATAAATCTTATGTCGCCTTAAACTTGCTCTCATTGAATTAAAAAAACCAATTGATTGAGGAGCGGTTTTCTCAGTAAGTTTGTTCAGAATGGGCAGTGTGCAGATTCATTTTCTCGTTCTTCATCTTTTTTTTTGAGTAGATCGTATTCACATCGCTATGTTTGTAAATATGAGTGTTAATTGTTTCTGAAATAACTCACTCCAAGTTTATTTATTTATTTATTTATTTATTTCAACGAAGGGGAGAAAACCACTAACACGTGAAATGTCTATGAAACTAGGAGATATAACAGGGACATACATTTGTAGTAATTGGGAGATGAAGGATAAACCGAGTTAGTAATTAGTTGAATTTAAGACAAGAAAATGGTTAAGATCACAGGATAATAATGGATTTTCGAAAGCCGCTGACGAGGGCTACACCGGAAACACTTCGGCGGGTAAAGAGTTCCAACATCTGATTACTCTATTAGAAAGAAATTGAGAAGATATTCTTGATGAGTTCTTGATGAGTGATTTGAGATAGTATTTGTGACGTCGCAATGATCCAGCATGATTAAATATTTCGAAAATTGGAACCTCCATGATAATTTCTTTGGAAACAATAATTTTATACGTGTAGACCAAATCATTATAGAGCCTGCGATACTCCAAGGAACTTAGCTGACATTCTTCCAGTGCTTCAAAGTATGAAGTGTATGCCATCCTGAATTTTTTGAAAATTCTGAAAACAAATGACTTTTGCACCGATTCCAATTTTATAATATGATCCTTTAGGATTGGAGAAGTGACTAACGTTCCATATTCGAGTAAAGGTTTGAATGTTTATTTCTTAATTTGGAATTTTTCAGAAACTTGTTGAATATTTTTTAAAATTTTAAATTCTCGGGGATTTTAACATTAGCTGTTCGAATTTTACAAAATTTACGGTTTTTTTAGCTTAAATTTCGTATAATTGTACGTTTTCTGAAACTCGAACAATAAAAATTTTCACGAACATCTCTGTTCAACTGATATCGGATTTCGAAAATTATCCCTACTACAAATTCGATAACAACTTTTCACAGATGTTTTGCACTTTGCCCATTCTTATCGTTCCCAATAAACTGTAATTAAATTCACATTTTTAGGCATTCCATGTAGCTTCCATTGTCCAGCTAATGGGTTTGGATCGCAGGAATGGTTTACATATTTTATCCGATTTTTAATTCATAAGTTCATTTATTGAAAGTGAGTTCTTCTTATTTGCTATGGCCTTGCAAATCAACAAGAGCGCCGCCCGCGAGAATCGCCTTACATTTAACTCAAAACTGTTGAAAAAAAAACACGAAACGTTTGATTTTTGAATAATCTTTCTATTTTTCCTATTTTCACTTGCATGGTCGAAAATGTCATTATTCTGAAAATATCTTATAGGTTAAATTCCCCACTGTCTTCAGATATCTCTGCATAAATGCTGACAATTAATAGTTACTGGAATCAATGTCATCAATTCTGAAATTTTATTTTGTCATTATCATTATTTTCTAGAAGGGGCGGGGCCTAGGGGGACTATATATATATGGGATTGTTTCTCTCAAAAAACATTCATTCTCTATAATGACTTGAGAGCAACGATTTGGTTTGTTCTCACTGTCTTTTGAGAATCTTTCTACAAGCAACCGTCTGATAGGATGCTATTCTCTATTTTTCTGACTATTCTGTCTTACTCTCAATTTGGCAGTAATGCTGAATTCTGCTTTTTTTCACTGACTACCTGTTCTTGTTTCCAATCGATGCGACCATTTCTGAAAACCAGGCGAAGTATGTGAACCATTCATGCGATCCAAATCTGAAAAAAAAATGGAATGGCAAAAAACAAGGAGAGGCGCCGACGATATCAACGAAGGAGAGGATCTAACTTTTAATTATTTTCATAACTTGCGAAAACGAATAAATCTTATGTTGCCTTAAACTTGCTCTCATTGAATTAAAAAACCAATTAATTGAGGAGCGGTTTTCTCAGTAAGTTTGTTCAGAATGGGCAGTGTGCAGATTCATTTTCTCGTTCTTCATCTTTTTTTTTGAGTAGATCGTATTCACATCGCTATGTTTGTAAATATGAGTGTTAATTGTTTCTGAAATAACTCACTCCAAGTTTTGAATGTTTTTTCTTAATTTGGAATTTTTCAGAAACTTGTTGAAGATTTTTTAAAATTTTAAATTCTCGGGGTTTTTAACATTAGCTGTTCAAATTTTACAAAATTTACGGTTGTTCTAGCTTAAATTTCGTATAATTGTACGTTTTCTGAAACTCGAACAATAAAAATTTTCACGAACATCTCTGTTCAACTGATATCGGATTTCGAAAATTATCCCTACTACAAATTCGATAACAACTTTTCACAGATGTTTTGCACTTTGCCCATTCTTATCGTTCCTAACAAATCAAGTATGTGAACCATTCATGCGATCCAAATATGAAAAAAATGGAAGCTGCATGGAACGGCAAAAAAACAAGGAGAAGGCTGACGATATCAGCGACCACTTCTGAAAACCAGGCGAAGTATGTGAATCATTCATGCGATCCAAATATGAAAAAAAATGGAACGGCAAAAAAACAAGGAGAAGAGCTGACGATATCAGCGACCACTTCTGAAAACCAGGCGAAGTATGTGAACCATTCATGCGATCCAAATCTGAAAAAAATGGAACGGCAAAATAAACAAGGAGAGGAGCTGACAATATCAACGAAGGAGATGAGCCGACGATATCAGCGACCACTTCTGAAAACCAGGCGAAGTATGTGAACCATTCATGCGATCCAAATATGAAAAAAAAATGGAACGGCAAAAAAACAAGGAGAAGAGCTGACGATATCAACGGAGGAGATGAGCCGACGATATCAGCGAACGAGAGGAACATCTCGGATGGTTGTCTCACCCCCAACAAATAGAATTTATCGATGTTTTGCAACTAGCGTCGTAATCAACGAAGGAGAGGAGCCGACGATATCAGCGACCACTTCTGAAAACCAGGCGAAGTATGTGAACCATTCATGCGATCCAAATATGAAAAAAAAATGGAACGGCAAAAAAACAAGGAGAGGAGCTGACAATATCAACGAAGGAGATGAGCCGACGATATCAGCGAACGAGAGGAACATCTCGGATGGTTGTCTCACCCCCAACAAATAGAATTTATCGATGTTTTGCAACTAGCGTCGTAATCAACGAAGGAGAGAAGCCGACGATATCAGCGACCACTTCTGAAAACCAGGCGAAGTATGTGAACCATTCATGCGATCCAAATATGAAAAAAAAATGGAACGGCAAAAAAACAAGGAGAAGAGCTGACGATATCAACGGAGGAGATGAGCCGACGATATCAGCGAACGAGAGGAACATCTCGGATGGTTGTCTCACCCCCAACAAATAGAATTTATCGATGTTTTGCAACTAGCGTCGTAATCAACGAAGGAGAGGAGCCGACGATATCAGCGACCACTTCTGAAAACCAGGCGAAGTATGTGAACCATTCATGCGATCCAAATATGAAAAAAAAATGGAACGGAAAAAAACAAGGAGATGAGCAGACGATATCAACGAAGGAAAGGAACTGACGATATCAACGAAGGAGAGGAGCTAGCTTTTAATTGCTATTTACATAACTTGCGAAAATTAATAAATGTTATGTACTTGTATTTGTTGAATTATCGAAACATACCAATCAATTGAGTGGGGAGGAGATTCCGGACTTCGTAAAATTTGACCCGTGAACTTCATAGAAATTGGATGATTGTTTTTTTTCCAGTAAGTTTGTTCAGAATGGTCAGTTTGCAGGTTCATTTTTCTGTTCTTCATCTTATTTTTGAGCATATCGTTGTCACACAGCTATGTTTCAAAATATGAGTTTTCTTTGATTTTCAAATATTTCGCCCCAAGTTTTGAATGCTTCTTTCTCAATTCAGATAGTTGTTTCTTAACAAAAATTTCAGATTATCGGGGTTTTTAACACTGACTGTTCGAATTTTACAAAGTTTACGATTTTGCTAGCTTAAATTTCGTATAATTGTACGTTTTCCAAAATGGTAAGACAAAAATTATAGGAACATCTTTGCTCAACTGGTAGCAGAGTCCACAAACTACTTTTACTACGAAGCAAGTTCGATAACAACTTTTTACAGATGTTTTGCACTTTGCCTATTCTTATCGTTTCGAATAAACTAGGCGCCGTTATGACAGTTTATTATCAACTGCCAAAGGTTGAAATATAACCCACTAAACCGTCTCGCATTTCAGTTCTTGATTTTTTTTTATTTTTTCGAGCAAATCAACCGTTTTCGCCAAGTGTTCCCATCTTTTTTTAGAATAAACTTTTTAGAGTGAGAAATTTTACCGACGGTCGTCACAGCTAAGCAAGAAAATTTCGTCATAAAGACAATTTTCTTCCTCAGATTTGTAATTTTTCATTTTTAAGAACTCACACTTAGTCCTTCTTTATTCAAATAGCTCCCAACTTTTGAAGTGCCAGTTTTTCTAATTTGACAATACTTCAATCAGTTCAAATTCTACTGATAACAATTTAAAAATAATCGATATTTGTAGGATGGACAAGAAGTTTCTCAATTGGATTGCTGAAACTTTTCCTATGCTAGCTGTTCTTCTACTTGTACTTCTGCTTATTATATTTGATAGCTGGAAAAAACAATCGATTCGACGATACTGAATCAAAGGTTTTGCATCAAACGAGATTCAGCAGGACCTGCTATTAAATTTCATTTTTTATATCGAATTGGTTGGTGATCAACTCATTCGGAGAATTTTTTTAACACTTTCTTTTCATAACGATGAATGTATTCGATATAATTAATATCATTAAACCAATTTACTGGAGTTCAGAATCGGGGTCAAAAGCAAAAACTCGTTGTGATAATACACTTTAAACCAGTGGTGAGTCAAGATCGATAATAATTAAGAAGTAAATAAGGTTACAATAATACTTAAAAACAGGTTAGTGGGTAGAAAGGAATAGATCTATAATTGATCTATAAAATAGAGTATGCTACAATAAAACAGCGAAGTGAGAAATTCAGCTCACATGAGCAACCAATCGCATCGTCCTGGATAGTCCTCCTCCAAGACGCCAAATTGTCCGCACGCCCAGGCAAGTCTGTTGGAATCGGGAACCGGCCCATCAGGCATATGAACCGCGACGAGTTCAGCAAGAGCCATCTTCTCCATAGTCGGCCACTTGTCGTGCGCGAGATGACGGACTTGTCCCAGGTAGGGACGTGGATCGTTGCCCATGAGACGATCGATTCTGGCCAGAGTCATGTACATGCAGGCCTTCTCGACGTAGGTTCCATCGATTTTGAGACAGTCATAGCACTCACGAAGATGTAGACGAGCGCCCACATATTCTCCTTTGCACATCTGGAAAAGGAAAATCGATACTTTCGAAATTTATCTACAGTACAGGTCATAAGGATATTCAAAATCATATTTTTTTGTTGCTTTTCAACCATTTTGCCTGTTTTTAAGTCTGGAGCTCGGCTGTCAAGTTTCCGAGTGCAAAACAGACCTAAATTGAAAACTTTGTATTCACAAAACTTTTTGAAAATTGACAGTTTTTCAACTATTGGCCAATTTCTAGGATACACCTCTTTTTGGCCCGTTCTCGTACTTGAAACGTGAAAAAAGAAGAGTTTCTCATAAAACGGCAAACAGCTGAAAAACTGGGAATATCCAAAAAAATCTCCAAGTGCAAAGTTTTCAATCTATGTCTGTTTTACACCCTCCATGATTTTCAAAACCGTCGGAAACTTGACGCCGAACTATATTTTCTAAATATATGTCAAGGCCGAACTATATTTCATTCCAATTGAACAAATTTGTCACGGGCCGGGCCGGGTCCAATTGAAAAATTGCTAACCTGGCCCAGTCCTATCGGAATGAGTCAGATTACAAAATTTCGAAATTCTAAAGTTTTTCGGAATCCTTCACAGTTTTAATGAAATTTTCAAAAATTTTCAAAGCGTTGATGTTATTGGGAGGGCGGATCACCGCAGGAACTTTTTTGAGGTGGAATTTAATACGTGTTCTTGAAATTTTCGAAAAAAAATCAGCTGCTCTGGTCGACCGGGGTGGAACGGGTCGGAAAGAATTTTTTCGACCCATTCGGAATTTGACAATTATGCAACGCAACACAGTTATATTTTTCTAGCATTGGCAAAAAAAATTAAATATACTCACCAACATAGTCGAGATTCTGCGATTGATCATCGCACGCATAGTGCGGAAAGTGGTTCCTGCTACCAATTTGACTGCTTCCTCGAAATGCTTTCGGGCCTCGATGTAACTCTGCTCGTAGGTGTGGAAGGAGCCGAGCTGCATTTGAATCCGGATTTTTATGTAGATGTCAGTGGTTTCCATTTCCTGAAGCAGTTTGATTGCTTCGCGGGTCCTTCCCATAGCTGCCCATAGAATGGATTGTCTGGAAAATAAGAGATATTGATTATTGAAGCATTTCAAATGTAAATCTCACCGGAATTTGGTCTCATTCACTGAGAAAACGGCAAGATTATCGATGGCGATTTGAGATTCAATGAAGTATCCACCCAAGAACTCGCGTTCGAACATGATGATTGCCGCGGCTAGATGAATATGGTCGTTGCCCCTCCACAGAATTTCTTCTGGATAGAGCTCGTTCATTTCATTGAGGAGTTCATAACAATCATCATATTCGCCTTTTGCTGCGAGAGCGTAAGCCATGTTGACATTAGTCACACACTAAAAATATTCAAGTTTGAAAAGATATCAGAAAGTGGTCTAAACTCACGAATGCTTCCGTACGATGAAACTCTGTTGTATCTCTCATTTGATTTTGGACAATTTGTTCCTGTGCAGTAGTTTCGGCGTGCTCGTACATTCCGTTGCGGATCCTGAAAATTGAAAATGGATTTTTTTTTTCTTCGCTACGCTACAGTCTTGAAAATTCACCTAGAATAATGCAAACTTGTAAGCCAGGCCTTTGCAGGCGGCGCCATGGTTTCTAACATAGATATGATAGAACTTGACTAGTACTACAAAATGATATTATTTGAAAAAGTCATACTTGTAACGGGCCGGGCCTGTGTTCCCACAAGTTTTGAAAATTTCAAAAAACACATAAGGGGGACCCTTATGTGATTTTTTTTCGATTAAAAATTTTTTTCGAGTTTTTAAAAATATTTTTTGATCAAACAAACAAACAATCCAAAAAAAACAAAAAAAATGGAGGAAATTGTATTGAGAGCTCAAAATGTGGCTCAAAATGACAAAATTTTTGCTACCGGGCCTTCCGGGCTAAGAAAAAATAAAAAAGGCTTGGCCGGACCGGAGCGACACATTTCGTAGTACGCATCTATAACATGACCCGCCAAGACCCGGCAAAGGCCCGCTTAAGTATGGAATATCGAATTTAGTCATTTTATATTAAGAATAATTTTTGGCAGTTGTGCATTTCAAACTTACATGTTGCTGGTCATGATGGCATATCCGTATCCATTCACTTTGTCACCTCTCTCCTGTGGATCAGTCTCCAAAGGACACGTGATACCGATTTCAGCGATGCGATGGTATTTCCTAAAATTGAAGTTTGTTTGAAGCAAACTTGCTGAATTCCAGGCCAGGCCGGTGTGAGCCAGGGTTAAGTCCCAACTCACATTTTAAAGGTTCCTTCGGAAATTTGCTTCAGCACCATGATCATTTTTCCGTAAGAATCCATTTCGTGAATCAATTCAAAGTCATCCTCGGAGCTGATGCAGCATGGTCCAGCGCGGTGGTGGCCAGGGAGACTGGAAAATAAGAGATTACTGTAAAGAAGTGAAAAAGGGAAAAACTCACTCATTGATGTGTTTCAGCGCTTTTCTCACGATTCGGCGATCATTGACTTCCTCGATGTTTCCTGAAAAATTGTATTTAGGTGGGAAAAAACGTAAAAATTCTACGTGGATATATGAAAATCGCGCCATCGCGGTCCCTGTCGTAGTTTTATGAAATTGATATTTTTGAATCAGCTTAACTAGGTAATTATAGAACTTGTTAATTACTACAAAATGATACTATTTGAAGAACTGTATATTGTCTTTGAACAAAGTTACAAACCAAAAAAGTCTCAGGAACTGGCCCTTCTGTTTTTTTGGCTCGGTTTGTCTCTAACCTCGTTCATAGTACATTTTTCCCAAATTTTACCATATTGTGAATAGTAATCGTCAAGTTCTATCGTGTCTAATTCAGATGGTCCTAAAACTGATTTAAAAAAAAAACTATGGCTGGGCACGCGAAACCTCAACAGGATCTTAGGCTGAAGCCTTCATTTTAAGAGCCTCTGCCACAACTCAAATTTCTGAACTTACGGACGGTCTTGTCTTCAAGGAGACATCCACCACCGATATAATCTACCGTGTGCAGTTCAACGTTTGCCATTTGATGAGCAATCTCATCACATCTGATCTGAGCTTGTTGGAGACTCTCGGTGAGCAGAATACGAGCAGTTCGGCTGAAAAATCAGTAACCTAGTTGGACAATCCAATCCAGATGATGAAACTTACAGGTCTCCGAACCATCTGTGGACTCTAGCCTGAATGATCGGGGCATACATCATAGGTGTGTGAGTTGGCACTCCCATGCGATGGGTTCTCGAGAAGTGGGCGATGTCTTCGTTCAATCTGAAATCATTGAAATGTGCAGTACCCGTTAATGAGATATGAAAACCATACTTGTAACGGGCCGGGCCCGTCATTTCACTAGTTTCAAAATTTTCAAAAAACACATAAGGGGGGGGGGACCCTTATGTGATTTTTTTCGACCAAACAGTTTTTTTTCGAGTTTTTCGACCGGGCCTTCCGGGTCGGGCCCGGGTCTTGAAAATTTCCTCAGGCCCGGCCCGGCCCGGAATTTTACAAGTATGATGAAAACGTGTTTTCGAGTTGATTTTAGACTAATATGACTATTTTCAAGACTGTGAAGCTCGGCTGTCAAGTTTCCGATCATTTAGAAAATTTCAGAGGGTGTTAAACAAACCAAGAGTAGAAATTTTGCATTCACATAATTTTTTGAAAATTCCTAATTTTTCAGCTATTTGCCGATTTCTGAAAGACACTAATTTTTGCCCATTTTTGCACAGAAAACGTAAAAACAGTGTCTTTCAAAAAATCGGCAAACAGCTGAAAAATTAGGGAATTTTAAAAAATTCTGTTAATTCAAAGATTGCGATCTGGTTTTGCCAAATTTTCAAAGTAACCAAAAACATGACAGGCGAGCTCCAGACCCTTGAAAATTGTCAAAAACGCGGCAAATCGACTGAAAAACACGTGCATCTCTGATTAACCGGCACTGTATATACTAAGAAGTGAGACAAAGTAATACTTACTCAAACATGGACAAATCGAAAAACTTCTTGAGGCAGATAATGGCGGTGTGGGCATCCCTATCTTGTATCTGACTAATTGCTTCCATGATATAAGCTTCAAAGACATCCGGGTGAAGATATTGAACAGTGGCGTGAATGAGGTAAATAATTTCAGAATCGTACGTCATTATTGGGTTCTTAGTCATTTTGTAAATCATGTCGTTGACGAACCATCGAGATCTCAATGAGCAGTTGAGCATGTATGAAACGGGGGAGTAGAGTGGACTCTTGTAGGAGAAGTCGTTGACATCACCTCTCAAGATCCACCGTTTCATGGCTTTGTTGAGATTCCATTTGTCGATAGTGGACGTTTTTGCGAATTGGCCGAGAATCTGAAAGAAATTCGAAATTTGGTTTTGAAATCATAACTTATGCATATTCAGAAACATACCCTCTTGAGCCAACGGTACATGTGAGAGTGTGGCGAGGAAAAGTGGAGATCATCTTTGCATTGCTCCAGAAGCCACTCATAGCGTCCATCGTCTCTGTCGAAGTGTGGTGGTCTGGCATACTTGTTGGTGTAGAACTCGTCCTCCACCCACAAGTTGATGTCGGTTTCACCAGCAGCAATACTCTCCATGCTGAAATGTTGAAATGTGATGATTATTGCATTTCTTTGTTAAAGTTAGTAATTCTATAACTTTATTTCGGGCGACAAGATAAAACGTGGTTTTTGGTTGAATTTTGGTTTTGATCGTTTTCAGGAGTCTGTAGCTCGGTTGTCAAATTTCTGATTCTTTTGGAAATCTTGAAAAATGCAAAAGAGACCTAGATTGAAAATTTTGCATTTACTAAATTTTTTTATTCTCAGTTTTTCAGCTGTTTTCTGAAAGACGCTCTTTTTGACTCGGTTTTGTACTGAAAATATGAAAAAAAGGTTTTTTCTAGGACTCGCCAAAGAGCTGAAAAACTGGGAAATTCCAAAAAATTATGTGAATGCAAAATTTTCAGCCTAGGCTTGTTTTACACTTTCAAAAGTTTTCAAACTGCTTCGACGCTTGAAAACCAAGCTTCAGACTCCTGAAAATGGTCAAAACGAACTGAAAAATGCGTTTTCATTTTCCTGACAGCCTGGTCCTTTTTTTTTATAAATGAAGTGCTAAAGTCATACATGTCGCCGGCCGGCCGGTGTCGTTGGAAGAATTTTACTCATTTCTTAGAATTTCTACGGGCCGACCGACCCGAATGTTCGAGGAAAAATTTCAAAAAAGTCATTTTTGAGAGACAATTGAGGTTTTGTGGTAATTTTTTTGAAATTTCTTCGCTTTGAGCTTCGAGAAGAAACCTGGGCTAAAATTTGTAAGGCGCCAAAACATCAAAATGATGACTTTAACAAAATTTCGCCTGAAAAACGACAGTAAAATTTGGTATTTTTTTGGCACCCTGTCAGAGAGCAGGGTCTGGCCGGTCAAACACGGGATTCAGCAAGTATAGCTAAAGCTACTCACGCTGTGTAGATGCTGGCGACAAACTCGCGCTCGTCGTCGAGGAACACATTGAGAACCGCACAACGGAACTCGTCATAAGTGAGATCCTCTTGTGAGAAGAAGAGTCCAGCGAGCAAGTAGAACGTGCTGAAAAATATTCGTATTTACTTGATATTTATTTCGGTTAACAAAAAACGTACCACCGCTTTTCATTCAACGTCATCGGATATTCGGTCGGCTCGTGATGAAACCCAAAATGAATCTGGAAGCAGATCCGCATGACGTAGATTGTCGCCATCTAGAAAAATACCGTTTTTCATCTTGTTTTTAGAGTCAGAACTGTCAAATTTATGGCACGACCCTTTGAATCTGCATTTTGTCGTTTTTATCATTAAAAAACTCACCTTCATTGGTGTGATCGGCTCTCCGATGACATTGGAGAACGGATGTCCAAAAAGGGAATCCAAATTTGGATAACTCCGCTTGTAGACTCTTTGCTGGTTTTTTTGCATCACTGAAAAAAGGCGAGAATTAGAAAATTATGAAGAAAAAAGTGATGAAACGAACGGAACAAGGCTAAGAAGACAAATTATTTTTGAATCTACAAAAGAAGCGCAAAGAGAGAGTGTTGGTTGCATTTCGCGTTCAAAGGCTTAATTCTCGTGCTGTCGAAGAGAGAGAAACGGGGTGAAATGATGGTTGCTGTCCCCGCCGCGCGCGCGACCAACGGCAACAGGACAATATTGATCGGTAGGGGACGCAGAGAAACCAAGTGTGTTGAGCGCACCTCTCTCGTCGTGAGTGCTGTGTTTGTCTGTGTGTGTGCGCGCGCACCGGCAGGTCACTTTCTCTGCACACTCGGCCAGTGGCATGGCCGAGGTTTCTCTTTTTCTCTTCCATCGCCGAATTTCTGAGGAAAAGACGACTGTTTGAGAAGCGTTTTAATAGGAAAATCTATCACAAAAAGGATACGTTTCAGAATAGTTTGCAAATTGAACGTATTTTGAATACATGAATGCTCTAATGCAAGCAAAAATAAGTGTAAATGTGAGTTTTGAGTTTGTTTATCAGGTTCAAGACGGATTGGAATACGAAATGATGACGTGTTGAATGGAAAACGATGAATTGATGTTGAAAAAGAAAGAAGTGTGCTCAGCGAGTCGGAGAACAAGAACATAACCTGCAAAAAAAGTTTCCACAAATTACTGTTCATTAACGAATTTCAATGAATTTTGGCTCTGCAAAAAATTATCACTTTTTCGATATAAACAGAGAAAACACTTCAAAACAATTACATTAGTTAGAGTGAAAATCACAACAATAGTAGTCCAGTTGGGCTGAACAGATTTTTCAGCATATTCCACACATTTCGGTCCGATAGAGTACGCGTTCAGCTTTGGTGAAGAGAAGTTTATTGCAGTATTCGTAGGGGACCATGATGAGCACTAAAAGAAACTGAATTTTGAGAAAATCTCGATAAAATGACGGTACACTTTCCCTTCGACATCAATGTGATTTACTAACGCTGAAGCAGGATTTGTTCCTGTCGTGACGGTTGAAACGGAAAATCTTGAAGCATTATTATATCTGATGACGCCTGGACAGCACAGTATTAAGTTTTATCAGCTACGGTGGAAAAAGTAGAAAAGCAGAATCCATTGGCAGCTCAGGATGGACACCTGAACAGAACATTTATAATAATTTTCTCAGTTTCTGGGTTAACTCGATGACATATCAGTGAAAGTTGTAGCGGAGGTGCTTGCTATAGACGAAGAAGTAGACGATGCTGCTGTTAGTGATGAAAATAACATGGAAGAAATATAAGTAGAGATGAATCTGTTGAAGACTTAATGCGGACGAGTCTATGGTTGAGTCCAAAAATGCGACGCTAGATAGAAAAATTTCTGAAATAGAAGCTAATGATGAAGAAGAAGACAACTGTAGTAGTAGTAGTAGTAGTAGGCGAGGCCGATGAGCTCGACAAGCTCAAACACGAAATCAGCTGGCAAGTAAATATGCAATTTTGAGTTTTCTGAATTTTGCAGCTTATGAGGTACAACTCCTACTGGCATCAGTGAATGAAGTAGCAGAAGAAGCGGTGGTGAAGGAAGATGTAGATGAAGATGAGCAATAATCGCATGAAAAGCACATTGATCTGTTTTCTGAGCAATAGTGTAGATAGTGAGAGCACATAATCCGTTGACGAAACAGTTGGCGCAGATGAATATGTGGAAAAGTAGTAATTTAAAGGAGGCCAGACACGAAAGTCTACGGGGCTTTCTCGGGGCGAGATAATGTATTTTGACGGAAAATCGTACGATTGTGACCCAATGCGCGCTACTTGACGAGCATTTTTTTGTATACACTAAATTTCTTCAATATTAGGCAATTATTCCTGACTTTTTTTAGTTATTCGGTCATTCTATGATGTCGCGGCATGAAAACAGAAAAATAACAAAAACGGACATATGGGAGTCGAACCCGCGATGCGCGACTGACAGACAAGCGCGCTCACCTTTACACCCCACAGCGCTTGTCGTCTTCTACCGCTAAAACAATTATGAAACGAGGAGTGAGCGCCGCTTTAGCCGCCGCGTGGAAGAAGGTCGCGTTCTTGCTTGTACAGTAACAGGGAGTTATGGTTTGGTGTCCGTTGTTATTTTCTGACTGTACTGTGTCAAATATCACAAAACTAGAATTTTAAAAATTTTCATGTCTGGCCTCCTTTAAACTTGAAAGCTTAAAAATACTGATGTGAGAAGTTCTTTTGGAAATTTTTAATTTTTCTTGCTGCCGACCTAAAGCTTCCATTTTGCCATCATTGCCTGTGTAGCTCGGTGAGTGGAGCACCAGGCTTTTAAAGAGGAAGAAACTGTCGGATTTTTCGTTGCCACTTCTCTGAATCTAATGCTTTCGAGTAAATTTTTATTCTCAATTTATAGATTTAAAAATAATTTTCAAGAACGCGCAATTTAGTTGAAAAGAATACCTCATAGCTAGTTTCCAGCAACCCCTGTTATTTCTCTCACATGACCTTGTATTTTTCTCTCCTGTCGTTTCAATGCGTAACTTCTGTTTACTTGCCAATTGATAGGTTGGTCGCACCACTGGTTTTATCGCCGCCCGGTTAGCTCAGTCGGTAGAGCACCAGACTCTTAATCTGGTTGTCGCGGGTTCGAGCCCCGCATTGGGCTTATATTTTTTCAATTTTTTTGTTCAGCTGCATTAATGATTTTTTATCAACTCAATCCACAACAAAAATTGTTCTCCTCTCTTTCTGTCTCGTTCAGCTTGAAAAAAGAATAGAAGGAGAAAAAGCGGAAAAGAGAGAAAATGTCGGCTGCTTGCTTGGTTACGGGTATATAAACGCCCGTTTCTACTGAAATAAACCTCGGTCCGGCATCTTTGGGTTATCTTATAGGATCTCTTCGGGGATCATCCATTGATACTAACTTGACCGTTGAATTTTTCAGTTTCTCAAGAGTTAAACGCTAGGAAAATACAATTAAAGCCAAACATTTTTGAAATTGGTTAAATTTTGTGAACGAAGTTATAGATAATATGTAGTGCATAACTTCAAAAATGTTATCATTGTGCAAAAACAACGGTCAAGTTGGTACCAATGGGAAATTCCCCGAAGGGAAATACGAAATAATCACGATAACCCACTGACGCCGGACCGACAGTGAACTGAACTACTGGAGTTGTTTATATACCGGTCGCTCTGTGAGCGGCCGACATTTCCCTTCTTATCGCGAATTGTGTAAATGTTGCGAAATAGCGACACAACGTTTTCCACGAATTTTTCTTTGCGCAATTCATGAAAAAATTACCAGAGAAAATTTTTAAAATGTTCCGGATCGAGACGTTCAAAATATATTCCATCTATTTCGTTCAAAATCGGAGGTCAAGTGTATGTCAATGGGAGGGGAGCGAAATCGGTATTCCACTGACTCCGGACCTCGATCGAATGAAGTGAAACGAGTGGCCTGACTTTTTTCTCAAAAAGTCCTGAAATCTTCTGATTTTCGTTCAAATTTTGAAAACTGAGTAATCAACAAAATGGGTTTATTCGACAGTGTTCAGTTCACATTCATTTCAATTTTTAGAGCGGTACCAAGAAGCATGAAGCGGGAAATTCGGCGCAATGGGAGTCAGGGAAAAATTATTTCCAGGAAAAAAAAGCAAAAAAGCGATATTTTGTATAACTTTATGCCAGCGCATGAATTGAAACCGCTCCTAGTGATTCTTCATTCCTTGCTTTTGAGAAACAATTTTTGGAATTCCCCACCAACGTCTGAAAACGTATAATAAGCTAAATAATAAATTATTTCACTTACCTCTATCCGCATCTAGTCTAAATTCCATTTTTCTACCCTTGCCAAAGGGGACGACTGGATGTGGACTGTTAAATGCCATCAAATAGCTATTCTCTGGCATTGGCTCCCCACCAGAAGGCGTGATGGGCTCACGGATGCGATAGCTAAGTCTACCATATCCATCTACACTTCCGTAGGCACAAAAACCAGCATGTTCGAAGCAGGAAAAAAGTCTATAGTCGTATTTGTCGCTTTATATTTCGCTTTCTAGTGGACAGAGGAAAAAATGGGACGGAAATCATAGTTTTCTTTCTCTGATGAAAACAAAGTTTGGAGTCAACATCACTCTCCTTAGAGGAAACCACGAGTGCAAGAACTATTGCAATGATTTTAAGAAGGAAATTGTTGAAAAATTTGGACTCTTCGACTGCAAAAATTTGTGCATGAAACTATTTGCGGTTCTTCCAATCGCAACGAGGAACAAGCGTTTCTTGTTCATCCATGGTGGACTTGCAAGTAGTTTGCAGACGATTGAAGACTTCAACGAGCAATACGGAAAGACCAGAGTCGTGGACTTGGTATAGCCTTTCTAATTGCTTTACAAGGTTTGTTGCTATGATTTTAGGATACATCAATCGGTGAAAGTTTGTGGAGCGATCCTCATTATGGCACAAAACCGTGGATTTTCAACCGAGCGAGACATGGCGGAGTGGAATTCAGTGAAGCTGTCACACAAGACTTTTGTAGGAGAAACGGAGTGAGAGGAAACGAGGAAATGAAGTCAACTTCAAAAAGGTTTTCATAATTTTTTGTTTAGTTCAAGGATTGAGCTATTGTTTTTCAGGTATACCACGTGAACCAGCCAAAAACTATGTCCACCAGTAGAGTGCCGAGTCGACTCGAAAATCGATGATTTTTGTCGACTTTGAAAATCGACACAGTCGACATTCAACAATTCGACAAGGCTATTTGTCGATGAAAATCGAACTTTTCGTTGTCGATTTTTGTCGACTCTCAGTCTACGAAAGTCGACGAAAATCGATTCTTGTCGATTTTGCGTCGACGGAAATCGACAGAAATCGACAAGAATCGACTTTTGTCGATTTTGCGTCGACTTAAAATCGACAGAAAAATCGACAAAAGTCGACAAAAGTCGACGAAAAATCGACTTTTCCGGACTACAAAGTAAAATTTCACTTCGAGAAATTTTTTTTTCTAATTTTTTTTGAAGAAATCATTTTTTGTGTAGAGTAACAACTTTATTTTTATGAATAAAAAAACAAATAGTGTAAATCTTAATTTCAACGGGGTACAAAATAGAGAATCAGTATTCAGAAGATGGCAAGGAAATTAGAAGAAAATTCAAAGCGACAAAATTTTGAAAAAGAGAAGAAACAGAAGAACAAAGTTCAGCATTAGGAATTAATGTTTCATTATTTGGGCCAAATCGTTTCCAAAAGTATCATCGTTATGTTAAAATAAGCTTTAATATCTTACTCCAAAGTGATTTTTTCCAATTATTTGATGCCGTGGCTCTTGATCTTTATGTACTATCTAAAATTAAGAATTTAACGAAAAATATATAATTTTCTGCTTACCGATCTTTCCATTTCTACAACTTCTTTCGTGGTGACTGTTTAAGTGCTGATGCATCGTTGTGGTCGAAGAATGGAACTTTATGCTCCTTCCGCACAGTTTACAGGTCACAGTTTGTCCGTTATTTTGTTTTTCGAAGTATCGCTACGCTTTTGATTGATTTTGTGACGAATTCATCTGCAATAAGCAAGAATGTCATAAATGAAACAGAAAAAAAAACAAAACACCCAAAAAAACAAGGAAAATACGGTTTTTCAGTAGAAAATTCGATGAAAAATGCCTGTTTTTCATGAAAAATACCCCGGCCACAGGCAGTTTCTAGGTCACCGGCCGTGTAGTCTTCTCGGACAATAAAGACGACAAAAGTCGATTTTTTCGTCGATTTTTCGTCGATTCTTGTCGATTTTGAGTCGATTCAAAATCGACAAAAATCGACTTTTGTCGATTTTCGCTTTCATCGACTTTTGAAAAGTCGATTTTCTGTCGACTTTTTGAATGTCGATTTTTGATCGAGTCGACGAAATCGACACCGATTTTAACGATTTTCGTCGATTTTTGTCGATTGTCAACAATCGACACAGCACACTATCCACCAGTCTCCCCATCAGAGTACAATGGTAGGCCTGTTCCAGGTCATGTTTTGGATGTCGTCAACAAAAAAGCCACTCTCCGCCCAGTCACTCATAATTCTTAAATCTGCACTTTCTCAATTCCTAATTATTTTCATTTTTCTTGTTTTTCTGCCCCATTAAGCTATGAAATATTCAGAAAAATCAATTAATTTTGACAACTTGAGTTTGGAATTTTCCTCTAGTACGTTCCACAACCTTCTTTCAGAATTCTATTCTCTCAATTTCAATCTTCTCAAAAGCAAAGTGTTAATTTTTTCGGGACTACTTAGTGATAGTGTTCACTACGTTTCTATCGCCGCCTGGTTAGCTCAGTCGGTAGAGCACCAGACTCTTAATCTGGTTGTCGCTGGTTCGAGCCCCGCATTGGGCTTATATTTTTGCAGATTTTTTTGCATTTTTTATTAACACAATCCGAAGCAAAAAGTGTTTTCTACTGAAATAAACCTCGGTCCGGCATCTTTGGGTTATCTTATAGGATCTCTTCGGGGATCATCCATTGTTACTAACTTGACCGTTGAATTTTTCGTTTCAATTAAAGCCAAACATTTTTGAAATTGGTTAAATTTCGTGAACGAAGTTATAGATAATATGTAGTGCATAACTTCAAAAATGTTATCATTGTGCAAAAACAACGGTCAAGTTGGTACCAATGGGAAATTCCCCGAAGGGAAATACGAAATAATCATGATAACCCACTGACGCCGGACCGACAGTGAACTAAACTACTGGAGTTGTTTATATACCGGTCGCTCTGTGAGCGGCCGACATTTCCCTTCTTATCGCGAATTGTGTAAATGTTGCGAAATAGCGACACAACGTTTTCCACGAATCACGCTCTCCCACAGAACATTTCCGAACTGCAAATTAATTTTTGATCTACCGAAAAAAAATTTGGCGCGAACACAATTGCAGGCCTAAAGCCGTAGTTTCAAGATTTTTTATCTTATTTCGTGAAGATTTTAGACAATTCAAATGATTCCCAAAAAATTAATCAGCGGTTAAAGCATTCTTTATGGTCCTTTTCCGGAAGAAAAATTTTTTTGTGCCAAATACGCCTCGGTCCCGAGGATTCTTCACGAATCCACGCTTCTTGTCGACCGTCTGGGACACTACAATCATTAGTTCCACGTTGGCTCTTCCTGGCTCAAAGATTGTTGATTTTTCTTGCTTCTGTTTTAATAAAATTCCTTCATTTTTCCATCGAAACCTGAAATAATTTTTGGCGGAGAAGTATGATAAGTTCTATGTTGACTAACTGCATTTCCTAATGGTTTTAAACCAAATCATCCTATTTTCTGCTCGAATAACCCTCACACAGAAAACATCGAAAATTATTCGCCATTCTTTCAGACTTTCTGCTCAACAATTTCTTTCGCTTCAAGCAGGGGAAACGCAACGATTTCCATCGAATTTTGCCACCGATTTCTCCATCTGGAATTATAATTTTTATAAAAAAGCTTAAAAACGCATTTATTGCTCTACGATTTACGACAAAGAAAAAAATCAAGAGAACGAGAGATTCAATACATAATATCTTTAATCAAAATTTGAATGAATATATTTGCCGCTTTGTGATGATGCAACCGCGCTCCACGGTTTGCTGAAAGGGGGAGACCGTGGGGTGGGGGTAACCAAAATATGTTAATTGATTTCCTCCTAAACATCACTGTACACTACGATTGTTCTTTTTCTGTTTTTTTTTTTGCTGAATTGAATACTTGTTTTCGTTTGTGGGAATGATAAATTTTTAACACACGTACTTTAAACACGTATAATATTTTTTCCTTCTGTTGGATCAACTAGGCATACAGAAAACGAGCGCAACTTTGGTGCAGTTTCGAGGCTCGAACTGTACTAATGAATCCTCTTCTTCCAAGCGGACTCCCTTCCTTCTAATGCCGAATTGCCGTCCGTTCAATACCACTTCAAGTAATTGCGACACGAATTGCCTTCAGGTAAAATTCTTGGAATGCATCGCAATAAGCAAAATGAAGTTTAAAAACAGTTTTAAAAGGTGAGTATTTTTGTCGTATTTGAAATTGTGCTTTGATCTACAAAGATCGAAAATCTTTATCATTTTGTGACAAAAATTTTGTCAGTGAAGTGTCTTGTTTCAGCCCATATTCTTTCTCAACGTCGAAGGAAACAACTACATCTGCATTCAATGCCATGCAAGACCCGAATGTCAAATGTTTTGATCCGAAGTTGTGAAGTGGAAAGCAATGAAAGATCAAGAAGTCGCTTGCCATCTGGCCTTGTGAGGATATCGGAAGAACTCGGAAGCTACGAAGACAACAGATATTCAAATGCTCAATGTGTAAGTAAAATTTTCCCTGAAAAATGACCGCACGGTTAACTTTTCAGCAATTCGAGCGGCATTATGGAAAGTTCAGAGTCCTCAAAGCAAAATGTCGATTTTGACAGTGTGAGGTTTGCCACGATGTGTAATCCTCCGAAGGATAGGGATGTTGGCGAGATTAATCTTGAAAATGTACCAAGCTACGTCGTGGAAGAGAGCCATTTGGAAATTATCAGAGCTGCTGACCCACAAGAGTGAGTTATTACTAATCAGCTGACCCAGAAAACAGTTGCTCTAGACGGTTCCCATCCAGTCTGAAAGACACCTTCCTGGTAAACCCTGAACGTAAATAGTATATTTCAGTATCGTCGAATTCGACACAAAAAACGACATCCAGTTAGTCGAATATTCTGCATATGATGATAGGAAAGACACAGTTTCGACGAATCAGGAAGACAATAATGATTCTCCAAACTCAAGCCAGGGCTCTGTTCCTGCATTGGATTTCGACACTGAACATGGATATGTTACCGCGCCGGAGCCGGAGTCGGATTGCAGGCAAGTTTAGATTCCTGCTGCAATCTCTTCTCACGGGAACGACAATGTTGAAATCACAACATCCGTAACCGACCATACATTCACTGAAAATGATTCCACTGCTGTCTCAAAAGCATTTGTCGGATTGTGCGATTCGACGTCTGAAGACGGAGAATTGGCGGATGAGAATGGTTTCCCTTGTATGGTGTACGAAGAATATGAGACAAACGAACTCGACGGCAGTTTTTATTAAGATCCACAGCCGTTCTCCGCTCCACCAACACCTATTGTTTCAAGTGATGCATTGCATTTTTTCCATTTGTCACCAATGGAAGCTTTTAAACAAGCGGTGAAAGAGTTAAACGATATGAAATCGGAAGCCGTTGAAAAGTTGCTCACACGATCTTGTGCGCTTCATAATAAGATGGAGAATGTGATTGTTGTACCAGACACGGTTGTTGCGGTTGGTGACCTCCATGAAGTTTTATCCACGCTCGATTCAATCTTCAACACGCAAATCGAAGCATTTGTGTTTGCCGGCGACTACGTGGACAGAGGAAAAAATGGGACGGAAATCATAGTTTTCTTTCTCTGATGAAAACAAAGTTTGGAGTCAACATCACTCTCCTTAGAGGAAACCACGAGTGCAAGAACTATTGCAATGATTTTAAGAAGGAAATTGTTGAAAAATTTGGACTCTTCGACTGCAAAAATTTGTGCATGAAACTATTTGCGGTTCTTCCAATCGCAACGAGGAACAAGCGTTTCTTGTTCATCCATGGTGGACTTGCAAGTAGTTTGCAGACGATTGAAGACTTCAACGAGCAATACGGAAAGACCAGAGTCGTGGACTTGGTATAGCCTTTCTAATTGCTTTACAAGGTTTGTTGCTATGATTTTAGGATACATCAATCGGTGAAAGTTTGTGGAGCGATCCTCATTATGGCACAAAACCGTGGATTTTCAACCGAGCGAGACATGGCGGAGTGGAATTCAGTGAAGCTGTCACACAAGACTTTTGTAGGAGAAACGGAGTGAGAGGAAACGAGGAAATGAAGTCAACTTCAAAAAGGTTTTCATAATTTTTTGTTTAGTTCAAGGATTGAGCTATTGTTTTTCAGGTATACCACGTGAACCAGCCAAAAACTATGTCCACCAGTAGAGTGCCGAGTCGACTCGAAAATCGATGATTTTTGTCGACTTTGAAAATCGACACAGTCGACATTCAACAATTCGACAAGGCTATTTGTCGATGAAAATCGAACTTTTCGTTGTCGATTTTTGTCGACTCTCAGTCTACGAAAGTCGACGAAAATCGATTCTTGTCGATTTTGCGTCGACGGAAATCGACAGAAATCGACAAGAATCGACTTTTGTCGATTTTGCGTCGACTTAAAATCGACAGAAAAATCGACAAAAGTCGACAAAAGTCGACGAAAAATCGACTTTTCCGGACTACAAAGTAAAATTTCACTTCGAGAAATTTTTTTTTCTAATTTTTTTTGAAGAAATCATTTTTTGTGTAGAGTAACAACTTTATTTTTATGAATAAAAAAACAAATAGTGTAAATCTTAATTTCAACGGGGTACAAAATAGAGAATCAGTATTCAGAAGATGGCAAGGAAATTAGAAGAAAATTCAAAGCGACAAAATTTTGAAAAAGAGAAGAAACAGAAGAACAAAGTTCAGCATTAGGAATTAATGTTTCATTATTTGGGCCAAATCGTTTCCAAAAGTATCATCGTTATGTTAAAATAAGCTTTAATATCTTACTCCAAAGTGATTTTTTCCAATTATTTGATGCCGTGGCTCTTGATCTTTATGTACTATCTAAAATTAAGAATTTAACGAAAAATATATAATTTTCTGCTTACCGATCTTTCCATTTCTACAACTTCTTTCGTGGTGACTGTTTAAGTGCTGATGCATCGTTGTGGTCGAAGAATGGAACTTTATGCTCCTTCCGCACAGTTTACAGGTCACAGTTTGTCCGTTATTTTGTTTTTCGAAGTATCGCTACGCTTTTGATTGATTTTGTGACGAATTCATCTGCAATAAGCAAGAATGTCATAAATGAAACAGAAAAAAAAACAAAACACCCAAAAAAACAAGGAAAATACGGTTTTTCAGTAGAAAATTCGATGAAAAATGCCTGTTTTTCATGAAAAATACCCCGGCCACAGGCAGTTTCTAGGTCACCGGCCGTGTAGTCTTCTCGGACAATAAAGACGACAAAAGTCGATTTTTTCGTCGATTTTTCGTCGATTCTTGTCGATTTTGAGTCGATTCAAAATCGACAAAAATCGACTTTTGTCGATTTTCGCTTTCATCGACTTTTGAAAAGTCGATTTTCTGTCGACTTTTTGAATGTCGATTTTTGATCGAGTCGACGAAATCGACACCGATTTTAACGATTTTCGTCGATTTTTGTCGATTGTCAACAATCGACACAGCACACTATCCACCAGTCTCCCCATCAGAGTACAATGGTAGGCCTGTTCCAGGTCATGTTTTGGATGTCGTCAACAAAAAAGCCACTCTCCGCCCAGTCACTCATAATTCTTAAATCTGCACTTTCTCAATTCCTAATTATTTTCATTTTTCTTGTTTTTCTGCCCCATTAAGCTATGAAATATTCAGAAAAATCAATTAATTTTGACAACTTGAGTTTGGAATTTTCCTCTAGTACGTTCCACAACCTTCTTTCAGAATTCTATTCTCTCAATTTCAATCTTCTCAAAAGCAAAGTGTTAATTTTTTCGGGACTACTTAGTGATAGTGTTCACTACGTTTCTATCGCCGCCTGGTTAGCTCAGTCGGTAGAGCACCAGACTCTTAATCTGGTTGTCGCTGGTTCGAGCCCCGCATTGGGCTTATATTTTTGCAGATTTTTTTGCATTTTTTATTAACACAATCCGAAGCAAAAAGTGTTTTCTACTGAAATAAACCTCGGTCCGGCATCTTTGGGTTATCTTATAGGATCTCTTCGGGGATCATCCATTGTTACTAACTTGACCGTTGAATTTTTCAGTTTCAATTAAAGCCAAACATTTTTGAAATTGGTTAAATTTTGTGAACGAAGTTATAGATAATATGTAGTGCATAACTTCAAAAATGTTATCATTGTGCAAAAACAACGGTCAAGTTGGTACCAATGGGAAATTCCCCGAAGGGAAATACGAAATAATCATGATAACCCACTGACGCCGGACCGACAGTGAAATAAACTACTGGAGTTGTTTATATACCGGTCGCTCTGTGAGCGGCCGACATTTCCCTTCTTATCGCGAATTGTGTAAATGTTGCGAAATACAGAGGAATTTTTTCGCGCGTTTGAAATATGAATTATTCAGGCTTTTTTTTGGGAAAATATGAAGAAATTTATCAAGCTTATGTTAATTTTATTCTAGATCCACACTCTCGAATCATTTGTCGAGGAGGTTGTTGCGGTGAAGCTAGAAGAATTATCTGATGTCCTGCAGAACAATCATATAGAAGCAGAGTTTTGACGTCGCCTGTGCAGAAAGTAGAAGAGTAGGTTAATTCAATAATCTGGTTCATAAAGTTAAAAATTGGTTCATTTTCAATGCAAAAACAACGGTCAAGGTGGTGTCGATGGGAAATTTCCCCGGAGGGAAAGAATCACGATAACCCACTGACGCCGGACCGACAGTGAACTGAACTACTGGAGTTGTTTATATACCGGTCGCTCTGTGAGCGGCCGACATTTCCCTTCTTATCGCGATTGTGTAAATGTTGCGAAATAGCGACACAACGTTTTCCACGAATTTTTCTTTGCGCAATTCATGAAAAAATTACCAGAGAAAATTTTTAAAATGTTCCGGATCGAGACGTTCAAAATATATTCCATCTATTTCGTTCAAAATCGGAGGTCAAGTGTATGTCAATGGGAGGGGAGCGAAATCGGTATTCCACTGACTCCGGACCTCGATCGAATGAAGTGAAACGAGTGGCCTGACTTTTTTCTCAAAAAGTCCTGAAATCTTCTGATTTTCGTTCAAATTTTGAAAACTGAGTAATCAACAAAATGGGTTTATTCGACAGTGTTCAGTTCACATTCATTTCAATTTTTAGAGCGGTACCAAGAAGCATGAAGCGGGAAATTCGGCGCAATGGGAGTCAGGGAAAAATTATTTCCAGGAAAAAAAAGCAAAAAAGCGATATTTTGTATAACTTTATGCCAGCGCATGAATTGAAACCGCTCCTAGTGATTCTTCATTCCTTGCTTTTGAGAAACAATTTTTGGAATTCCCCACCAACGTCTGAAAACGTATAATAAGCTAAATAATAAATTATTTCACTTACCTCTATCCGCATCTAGTCTAAATTCCATTTTTCTACCCTTGCCAAAGGGGACGACTGGATGTGGACTGTTAAATGCCATCAAATAGCTATTCTCTGGCATTGGCTCC